TGCTTTGTGTGCAAAAACAATTATCGATCAGCCTCAAGCTGCCTTGGTTGCAATAGCAAAACACCCGTGTTGTCGTCACGATGTCAGTCTCAAGAGCAGGGTGTGCAGTGTCTCCGTCTTTGCGGTCCTCTTGTACAGGTGTGAGACCTGGCCTACTCGCTCAGAAAACATGAAACGGTTGTCGGTTTTCGGCAGTCGTTGTTTGCGAAGGATTGCACGCTTGTGGCGGCAACATCACGCCAGCAATAGAACTGCGAGTCCGAGTGCTTAGAGCGAATAGACCCTGCCTCCATAACGTTATTATTCGTTATTGAATGGGCTGGCTCGACCACTTATTGCAGATACCGGCTGCCGCCTATCCTTCGAGTGTTATTTACGCTGCCCGGAAGTGAATGAAAGAAGTGACAACCAATGCTGCGAAGAAGAAGCATGAAGAAGGCGACTACAAGCTTTTCATCAGTCGGACCGGTCTACTTTTCAGATGGAGGACTAAGCGACTGTGACTGCCAGTGGTTGCACATGTTGGATGTTATGGCCCACAACATTCGTCAATGGCGCTAGTTTTCTGTCGCGTCATCTCTTAGTTACTCTGTAATCACACATAAATCTCTGCAAACCAGAAAACTAAATGTCATGTACAAACCCCATATGCCATTGCATTTCGCTTTTTTCTGCTATATTTCTGACGGTATCTGTCACCGGATGGTGAAGTTCTGTGTTTCCTGGACACTCCTTTCCGTACAACTATCTTGAGCACTACGGGGCAGAACGCGCTCTTGGCATCGTAGAACACAGCTGTAATTGTCCTGCGATTCTTATGCCTCCGATCTAGCACCTGCCACAGAATAAAACGTACTCAACACTGCACCGTCTTGTCCATATCTTCCATATCTTTCGGGATTTGCGCGCCACAGGGGAAGAACGGAAATAGTGTCCAGTTGCCTAGAGTTAACGCTGGTTCGAATACGCGTAGGGGTGGGTGTCCTCGCGGTAAACTCATCCCGCGTGCGACTGGTAGTGGTCGCACAGCAGCGTTACGGCGTACAGCTGACACATCTTCAACGGTCGGCTCAGAGCAGAAATCTAGCTCTACCGTTTCTGATAACGCTGCTTTCTCTGTACTGATTTGACAGAGCCTGGGCAGTACGCCCGTCGCTATTACTTCCTGCACTCACTGCGCACCTTCAGCACCATTGCTTTTATATTACTCGTAAGTAGCAGGATTTTAGTCGTAATTTTTGTTGCTCGAGCCCCAATAGGGCGAAACGCGTCTGGTGCTTTTCCGGACTAGGCTGTGCTATGTAGCTTGTGAACTACTGGGATAAAAACCTCAACCAAAATTACAACTGATTTTCTTGTCAGTTCGTGGTCTCTATTTTGCGCTTTGCCTGGCAGTTCGTCTGTTCGTGTTATGTTTATTGCCAGAGGGCATTTTTCGTCTGGTTCCTTGCCTATTCTTTGACTACTGGTTGGTTGTGTCACATTCCGAATCTGTGCATACCATGAGAATTATTCTATTCTGACCAACTATCGTGATAGGAGTCCGGTGAAAGTTCGGTATTTCTGCTTGGGATGCGACTGTTTCTCGGTTGCCACACCTCTGGTGCTTACGGTAGACCCTCGCCCTGTTCCAGACATTGGGGTGTCCGTTTAAAAGGGTATCACTATGCTCTTCGAGGCTATTCCTCGGCACGCAACACCATAATGCAGATCGATTGGCTTGGTCAGTGGCTTAGTTCTCGACTAATTTTTAAGTGATGCTGTTCAAAGATGTTACAAGGGAAGTTTCACGAATGATCTCAGAAATTAAGGGAAACAATAGTTAGAAATATAATACCTTTACTGTTTTTCAAAGTAGTCATCATTAGCTACATCTGACATCGGGTTGCTAAGCTGATGGAATATGTCGGCAGACGGTTCTTGTGGAAACCCTCGAAACATCTTGGTCGCGCGTTGCTGGTAACAGTTGAAACGTAAGCCTTTCATGGCTAATTTACGGCGGGGAATCAAAGGAAGTCTATCAACGCCAAATCTGGATAATAAGTAGAGCGTTGAAGAGCAGTCACCTTGTGTTGAGCGAGAAAGTTGATCACTGCGGATTCCGCTCAAACGTGTCGATCAACTCTCCAGACATTTCCACCCCAGTTAGCTTCTACATGTCTGTCAGCGTATGCGGTACAAGCCGGGCACTAATCTTCCTCCTTTTTAAATGTTCATAAACAGTACCGCCTATTCCGTCTTTGCTTACCTTCAACTCTTATGTTGTCCTTCACAAAAGCAAACGCCGATCATCCGCAGGCATCCATCGCACACGCGTGTCGTCTTGGATTACGCTTGTTGATGGCCGGCTCGAACGCGGCTCATCCTCTTAATTGTCCAAACTACCCAACCACATTTTACTCACTACTTCGGCACCGTACACTTGCACTATCATTTCATAAGTTTCTGTCGCATTTCGCCTACTTTGAAGCTGATTTACATGTTAACCTCTTGTTTCGTTTATCAATGATGTGTTCTTGTACTGACTCCGTTAGTTTGGCCGCCGCATGCATTACTGCTTCACTTTGTTGATTTGCACCATAGAGCGGCTTGTTGCCATGGCTCTAACTACGTATTCGCGATCCCCTCACCCTAACCAGAGCTGTTTTTAACCTATAAGACCATTCCTCGAACTTTTAACACGTACCTTGTATGTTTAGACCCACTCATCCTGTTCTGGTACGGTAACGATCTTGTTCTTCATGGGATTCAATGATTCACGAGTTGGAAAATCGATATTGCTAAATGTATGCCAGCAGTTTTATGATAATCATCCCAAGACCAACTCCTCTCTGATTGGCATACGAAATACGCGTCTAAACAGGAAGGAACTTTACGTCAGATTTTAGAAAACCGAACGTTTAACTACCACAACTAACCATATCACCACGCTTGATCAGATGCGGAGAAATGCACTCTAGACCGATAGAACTGGATCTCTCCATTTGGGGTGTTGGCTCACGGGTGGACGATATTATCCAATTAAGCTATTAGTTGAACTACTCTCTCCGATTATCCGTACACCTTTACGGTTCAATCGTTGATACACCGTCTGTCTCGCTATTAATTTTCGCGACAGCAGGTTTCCCGCACGACCTCTGGCCTAAATGAGTTGGGAAAGCTCTTAAAAATTTAAGGGAGGATAACAGTCTCATCACCGCAACCCGTCGAAGGTGCGGAACTTCGTGATCACTAGGCAAGCTTTGTTTGAGCTTCAGGCTGACGGAGATATCGAAGTTCTTATCATAAGTAGCTCTAATGAAATAAATATGATCAACAAATGGATATTTGGCGTTTGTGTAAGACATATATATGGGTGACGAAAACCGCGGATGCAATAAGGTGCAATGTGCTTGAATCAGTAGCTTGCTCACAAGTCCTATGCTACTCGGTTGCCCAAGTTGTAGGGTTTTGATTCTTGTGACATCACTTTGACCCTTTGAATTGTTGGCTCACTCACATACAGCTTCGTGAGGTCAAGGGATTGCACACGTCAGAAGTCAGCGGCTGATGCCTCAATTCATTCTTGTCTTAGTGAATTGTCAATAAACAACTCGCTCCTTCCAAAATGTTGTATACTAGGCTTCATTGAAAATAAGCATCGAATAATGTTTTTACTCAGTGGGAAAACACATCAGCGCATTATTAGTGATGAGATACTGGTTTTTGTCACGGTATCGTCACTGTACTGTGACCTACCATCATTGCAACATTTTCTGAAAACTATTAGTCCCTTCCACAGCTGGCTAAACAAGCTAATGCTGCTCTGGTTTGTCTTTCCTTCGCCAATCGTCTGCATTCTATTTATCTCATTCCCTTGCCTGTTGGCGACCTTTCTCAGCCTATATTGTTTTTGGGCACAGCTCCTGCTTAGGCGCACCGTCAGAGTGACTAACCGATAGCATCTTTTAGAGACCTTATGAAACTGACTGGGAAGTTTTGTCTGGCCCACATATACTATCTTTCGGGAGTGATTAGATAATTTTCCCAAAGTAGCGTTGCCGTCATCAGAGTGCACTTACATACAACTTCTCACATTTTTTAAATCTCTTTTCCGAACTTCAGCACGCATCTCCCAACATTCTAGTACGATCCCATGGTAATAACCCCAGATACGAGTGGAATTATTTACTGCTTCAAACAGCTTATACTAGGCGCATTGGTTCTGATCAACGAAACATCCACTCATCTTCGCACTGTTTGTTGGGGGTTGCATGACGTTGGTTTGCTTATGCGTCCATTTCTCGCGCGCATACAACTGCGGTTCTAGGATGTTCCTTTTGTGGGATTCATTACGGACTGCTGTTGGCTAGTCGCTGTTTCGTTTCTTGGCACCTCTATACTACTGATAGCTGGCGCAGTAGTGTTTACCTTTAGTCCACCGCACCATGGTCCTATTAGACTGTCAGCTCATTCCGCTGATTCATCTCATTTAATTGCTCGTGTCGGTTTCCTTTGTTTTTCTTCGTGGCCAGCTAGTCTGAAGATGAACCACCGAAAACAAGTTTGTGCACCGCACCAGCGTTTGGCCCCTAATTTTTTCGTCCGTGATATTCTCTCCATCGATAATTTTGCATGAGTTTTCTGCAGCATGTCATTCTTCCTCTCGTAGTCCTCCTGGTCATGACAACTTTCCCCCTAGCATTTTATTTGGCTAACTCAACTGAACTCCGGCTGTGATGGTTCCACAACTTGGCTTCTCCTTTCCTCCCTTGTTCTCTCCCCAACATCTTTCGCTATTAGCAATCCCTGCGTGTGATTCATAATATTCCATTTGATTGCTAGATTCGATTTCATGTGCATGCAGTGTGCCTTTCATCGCATTTGATTATATAGACGTCTGCCAAGTCGTTCGTACTAAGATTTGATGACACTCATCACGTTGTTCCGCCTCTGTAACCCATTGTAACTCGTTTCTTCTCACATCTGCATTTCGTAAATCTTGCACACTGACATTTCAGCTCACTACTTTCTTGGCGGAAGCTCACGAGAAGTTGTACGTCGCTGAACTTTGCGCTCGACATGCTTTGTGTGAACTGAAAAACGCCGGTCTCGAAGAATACCAGGCGGAACAGAAGGTGATCCTCCATTTACCGTACACGCTGTTCGGATATTTTGTTGTTCACTCATCCGTTTCTTACCGATATATATATATATATATATATATATATATATATATATATATATATATATATATATATATATATACCTCCGATTCCCGACACCTGCAATCAATATTAGAACCTGATAGCCTCACCTCGATCATGTCCTGGTAACGAAGCTTCGGTTTCCCTATATGCCTCTTCCCCACACTCAGCTGACCATATAACAGCTACTTCGGTATCCGCGTTGAATCCATACGGCACACATTACCGAGCCAACTCAGATGTCTCAGCAAAAGTATGCAGTCCACTACATGCATTCCACTTCGGCACAACACCTCCGTGTCTGCAACTCTGTCGTACCAACTGATGCACAGAATCCGCCGCAGACACTGTTGATGGGACCGCCCGAGATTTCTTACATATCCCCGACACATCGTCCACGTTTTGCTGTTGTATAGAAGAACGGAGAGTACCATGGATTTGTACGGCATCAACTTCGTGCCAGCGGTAACCTGATGGTTGTCCCACACTCGGTACTCAAGCATTCCGCATGCCACCGTTACCTTCGATACGCGGATACCTACCTCACTGTGTATTTGCTTGTCAGTCGAAGCTATACTCCCAAGGCAGAAAAAGCGGGAGGTGGTTTTCATTACGTCATCACCAATGCTGTTTTGCGGCACTATTGCAAATTTCTCTTTCGGCAAAGGCTGTAAGAGACAGACAGGTTTGCTTGTGTTAATGGTGAGCCAAACTTGGCCGCTATCGAAGCCAGGACGCTAATCATGTGCTACAACTTATTCGCGCTATGTGCGAACAACGCACAGTCGTCAGCGGACATACTAGGGTTCTCGCCCCGAAACGATGGGGGTACGGCAACCCACCATCAGTACGGGGTTCCACACGAACACCGTACGCACAATCCGAATCAAACGCACACAACATCATGGCATGATGTTGACATAGCCAGGAGCCGTACTCAATGACGTTTGTGTTTTGAGTATCTTTGTTTCCTCCCTTCCCCTTATATTCCTTCTCTAACAACGATCTCACATTGCATGGATACTATTACACTTAACATTATATAACTAGTTTTTTTAGTTTTGTATATATTTGTTATATATATTTGTTGTTATATTTGTTATCTTGCCTTCTCTCATATCTTTTCTTTCGCATTATGGCACAGTTAGCTGAAGTGTGTTGCTCATCTTCAGCTGATGTGTAATGATGATAATGACTTTTGAGCCGTCGCAGTGGCCCAACTACCAGGATGAAACCACCCAACCAATTACGCCAGTCAACCGCAAACATTTATGGGCCGATCGAATGAGGCGGCAGTGTGTGCCCATACAGATGAATCCACAACAGCAATCATACGAACATCCGATCCCCTGATTGAACGCAACTCTGTCTCTCACTTTGGCCGTGGTTGCATCCACCACATCGTTACTCTTCGCCGTTTCAGAGCAGCGACTTACATATAGGCGACCGACTATAATTGTTTTCCTTGACATAAAAGCCGCCTTCGACTCAATTGATCGAGACAGCTCGTGGCAATGCCTATCCATAAAGGGCGTGCCAGCTCATTTCTTTTCCATTTTGCAGTTTCCATACCGTGACTCCCAAGTCCGTGTAAAGGTCTAGGGAAAAATCCTTCCTAAGTTCTTCACGACAAGTGGGGTTCGCCTTGCTTGTCCTATATCTCCTTTCCTTTTCTATTTCGTTATTGAAAAGATCATGAATGACTCCGTTCTTTCAGACTCTACTAGAGTAGAAGTTCTGCCCGATGATGGACTGACCAACTTGGAGTATGCGGATGACATCGCTCTTCTTGGGTCTTATACATTGGCAATGCAATCACTACTGCACAGACTTGTGCGTAGCGATGCACCCTTCGGCCTATACTTTGCACCTGTAAGTGCAAATTATTGTTGCAGGACCGGAATGGCATACTTTCGGTACTAGCCATAAGTGAATAGCAAATTAGAGATCAGACTTTTGCAATTGAACAAGGCCGCAGGCGCAGATAGAATTCCTCCAGCCCTCTTCAAATTCGGTGGACCTGCTCCTTTTGATGGCTTACACGAGTTGCTTGCGAAACTATGAAAACAGAAAACTGTCCAACAGATTGGAACCGCTCTGTTATAGTCTCAGTTTTCAAGGTAGGCTCTCGTTCGGAATACGATAATCATAGAGCGATCAGTCTGATCTCAATTGACTGACTAGCACTCGTGAAATTCAGATTCGCGAGGAACAAGCCGGGTCTCGTCGAGATCGGGGCTGCATCGTTCACATCTTTGTTTTACGTCAATCGTTGAAGCATCACCATATTTACTGGCGACCCACCGTAGTCGTGTTTCTCGACATCAGAGGTTCCTTCGATTTTTTTGGATTGATGCGCTCTTTGTGACTGTCGGCTGAGAAAAGGTGTGCCCAATAAATACGTAAACATTATCAAAGCGCTGCATGCGCATAATTCTGGCAGAGTGAGGATTTATGGCAAACTGTCACCGCCCTTCAATATCTCCAACGGTTTGAGACAAGGTTGCTCGCTGTCACCTTCCCTATTTAACTTTTTATTGACAAATCATGGAAACATCATTCGCTGTACACGATTTTTTGATTTAGAGTGTGCTGACGATATTATTCTCATATGTGACAGCGCCCAAACGTGCCAAGCAGCACTGGACCGATTAGCACTGGCTGTCAATTTTTTTGGGCTATGCTTTGCTCCATCGAAATGCAAAGTTCTTCAAAATTGGTAGAAACATATCCCTGCGCTGATCCTCGGTGGCTATCAGCTAGAAGTCCTTCATGAATTCCAGTATGTGAGCGGCTACCTTAGCGCCCGCAGGATTGAAGATGAGATTACGAAGCGTAAAACCAAATTTCGGGGTGCTTATGTCAATCTCCGGCACCTGTGGTGCAGTCGCGACGTCACACTCACTCTGAAGGGCAGAGTTTACAATGCAGCCGTCCGCTCAGCCCTCCTGTACGGTTGTGAAACCTGGCCCATCAGGTCGACATACATTAAGAGGCTAACTACGTTCGACCATCGCTACCTTCGTAATTTAGCTCATGTCTGCTGGAAACACCGCGGGAACAACGAGCGTGTTCGATGTCTCCTGTTTGGTATAGAACTAGTGAACCGCCCGGCACCACTATACCACTCGCCAAGCTCTGATGGCTGGGCCACGTGGTGCGCATGTCAGCACACCGACTCCCGCGACTTGCGTTGTTTACGCGCCCGTGGTCTGGATGGAAGAAAAGGAGAGAAGGACCAGCAATGACTTAGTTGAGAGAAATAAGAACCCTCACTTCGAAGTTGACGTCGGTTGGCGCATCCCGACTGCCTTGCTGGGGTTCTAAGGACGATGAGCACATTTGGTTGGACACACTTGCTGATATGGCTAGGCACCGGCCCCAGTGACGACCGTGGTTTGAGCTTCTTTGTCCATCCCCTCTATTTTAGATTCCCCCTCTTATCACGATCTCTTAACAACTTAATTATTCGATATTCAGTGTTATATTACTAGCTTTTTTTACTACTTGTGTAGTGTTATTTTTAGCATATTGTTGTATTGCGGCACATTAGCGGAGGCGTTTTTCTCACTTTCAGCTAATGTGTACTTATGATGATGATGAACAGCCACTACAGTTGATAAATCGGTTCACTTGCCTTGCTCGATGTGTCACCTTTGCGTATTAGCAAGGCCTGTGTGGCTTTCCGGAGACTCGTATCTGTGGAGACGGCGGGATATCAGTTGATCAGTGAAATATAGTATAACGCCGCGACAATGGCCGTGGTTACTGCATGTATCAGACACCTGGCCAGTTCGCAGTAAACATGTTAAGTGCTTTGCCATGTTTGACAACTGGAGCTTGTGGAGTGGTGGTACGCCGATTGAGTAATGCTAAGGTGTGCCAGTTGCTTTAGCAAGAAGCCATCTGATGCCTCACTCGAGTGCTTGCAGAATCTTATTCGCTTATGTTGGCTAGACCATGTCCTCTGTATGTCCGTTGACCGGCTTCCTTCATGTGCATTATACCTACCGTTGTTGCACCAAGTTCGGCTATATCCGTGAGCTAACCAGTCAATGACATGAGATTGAAGCTTGAAGAAGTTGACTGACAGACTTCGTCAGGTTGGTGCCTGCTATCTTCATGAATGGGACATCGGGACGGTCCGCACCAGTGATTGGGGCCGTGTCAGACATGGCGCAGTTACGTAGTCAGTGGCGTTCCTGCCTTCGGGTTCTTTCATCTGGTCGTTGATTTTCGTTACATTCTGATTAGTTTAACATACTTCCTTTTTTATTCCATTGTCTTTGCATTACATTTGGCTTTTAGCCCCACTGTCATGCCGTTGTTCTCTATTGTTATTCTTGCGATGTGAGTCGTGACAACTGAATCCACCGCACTTCCGTGCTCGGATCATAATTGTTCAACTGAATTGAACTGCTGGACCGGATTGCCTTGCAACTACAATATACGAATGATGTTGATGTGTACTTCAAAACACTGACCTCCCTTTTGGAGCACGTCTTTTACGTAGAGGCCATCCCAGGTAACTGGAGTGAATTGTTTATTGTGACAATCTACATGCACGACAGTTGCACCGTGGGTGATAAAATCGCTGGCCTCGTTCTATGTCTCACTGTGGAATGGAAATCACATATGAGGGCATAACCGACAGGTTTCCGCCCGGAACGGGATTGTATACAACACATGTTCACTCTGCTGCTGATGTTGGGGCAGCGTCTTACGTACTTCAGACTGGCGATAGCTGTATTCCGCAACTTTAAGGTTGCGTTCGACTCAGTCTATGGATCTATTCTGTTCGAGACACTTATGCTAGTAGGTGTTCCCATGAAATCTGTAAACTATTTTACGTGCCCTGTGCTAGAACACCACAGGCCGATTCAGGGTCTGCGGCGTCTTGTCGGATATCTTTCCGACACCGATAGGCATTTGTTCTACCCCGTCCTGAACTCCACCGTGGATTGTACCTTGCAGAGTCACCCGAGTTCTAGTGTACGACAGAGCGGCATAAGTTCAGATGGCTTACGTATTGCTATTTACCATAGTGATAGCGAAGCTGCTGCTGCTGCTGATTATTGCTCGATCTAATCTTGTTCTATTTCAAGGCATAGCGCGGCCGAACCTTGGACAGCCTAGCGCGCTTCTCTCGAAAACCAACAGTGCATATATTTATCTTAGCCCAAGCACGTCATTTGCAACACCAATCCAACATTTTGCACTTCCGCTGCTTTTTATTTGCAAGCTACTAGATGCCCATTTATCTTCCCTTTCATTTGACTTGTTAGCGACCATCCATCTCTTCAGACATTTCACATGGAGCTCTTCTTATCATATGTCCCTATGTTGGGTGTTTGTTAACTCTGCGAGCATAATGCACGTTGTACGTTTACCGAATGCTCAACTAATGACTTCACCTTTTGGACACCTACGATAAATCTTCATTTTGCTCATCAGATGACCTTTTACTTGACCTCTATCGTCAACTGCCTCTGCCCCACCCCTTAAATCCTCTAGTATGAACTGGATCGAATCGAAGAGTTGCTTAGAAGATTGGATCGTGATGAATTATTGTTGCAGCGTACCGCTGCACAATTGGACTCAGGTATCTCTAATTCTTTCGGCTCACACCACTCGTTTTCAATCTCCATTTCTGTGTCTTCGAGTAACATCGATTCCACACATGTATTGGTCCTTCCACTTTTCGTTCGACTCTTTTTCAATCAACTGAACGCCGATCATTGTCGCGCTAAGTGTGCTTAAGCATTACACCAGCACCCCGAAAATGAACTGTCCGACCAGCTGTTCTTACCGTCACGTAATTCAGCCGTTTTGTATTTCTTTATGCTGCCCTCCATCCCATTGCCTGTGGGCGGTTCGACTCCAGCACCTGCCCACAGTTTAACCTATGCTTTTGTGATTCTTGATTTAAGTTTTTATTCGATTTTCTTATTTTTGCTTTTCGGCCACAAGAGGCTGCTTTTACCCCAGTGAAACTAGCTTCATAGACCAAATATGCTGTCATAATGGGTTGGTTCACGTTTTTGCTTGCAGGTGGGAGCGTTTTGCTTCTGTTCGCTTTTCATTTGTCATGCGCGTTGCGTAACCGGAATTACTGCTGTGTCTTTTTTGTGCATGCTTTCGTCGGTCGGTAACCAGGGAGTCTTTCAACACTTGTAATTTCATCGATTGATTTTGACGGACAATTTCTTTATGGGGATGTCACGCCGTTGTCCGATTTCGTGTCATGTATCGTCTCTTGATCTCAATACTGCCGCTTTAGGTTTTATACGTTACGAGTTTAGCGATCTCTCACGTATACATCCCAAAGGACTTCCGTTATTTCACAATTCATCTCCGAACTAAATGGACTGAAATATAGTCGTTCTCTCTGCGGTCTCCTAAACCCAAGTATTATTCATTTTTCCTTCAACTTTGCTTGGTGACCACTGACTTTGACAATTGGGTCATCATCCTTCGTATGTTGCTATCGTTACTCCTCAGAAAGAATTTTTTTAATTTCGTAAATTCCATCAACTTCGTTTCTCTGCTTTTTTCTACTTTTTTAGACTTCAGAGCATATCAGCTAGTGGAGTCCTCTTGGACAGATTGCAAGAAACGTAAGCAGTTTGTTGCTAGTATTTTAATTACTATTCCGAGGCATTCTCTGGGTATATAAAAAACCATACCGGCGAGACAGTAGTAACCTAGTTTGTGATAACAGTGTGCATTAGCAGTGCATTTTCATCGATACGTCTGTATCACTTTTGTTCAAGAGGCTTCAACGTCAGCAGTCAAGGCACCGAGCGTGCATCTTTGCTCTGTCAAAAGCAGTGGATCGCATTTTCCTCGTTGGCATCTTTCAGAAAATTTTTTTATGCAGTCGCTCTTCTGTCCGAATTGTCCTTCAAACCCGCCTTCCTTTCAGTGTGTGTTCTAATCAATGTTCACTCCGGCCCGTAGCCTAAGGGGTAACAAGCTGGTCTTATAATCTGACAGCGCGGGTTCAAGCCTGCGTAGGGACAGAACGATTTTCGCAGTATCCTTCGCCCCCGTGCGACCGGTGGTGGTTGCGCTGTAACCAAGCGTTGGTACTCCATCTCTGCGTACTACTGATGCCTCTATCTTTTTCTCTGTATTTGTTTGTGGTTCCTGCAATTAGAACACGATCCATCTTTCAAGCAGCTGTTTTTGGCGTGCTATGTTGTGCTTTATCTCAATTTACTCTTCAACTTCTCCCAGTTCAAAACACCTTGAAATATTCACCCTATTTTGGGGCTTCAAATAAGCTCTCTCCGTGTGCAGCAATTATTCGAAAACGTGTTATCAGTATTAAACCACCGCTTTTAAGCCCTAGAGTTTTACATCCTCATATTTCTTCCACTTTTGAGTCTCCGGTACTTGTGGAATGTCAACGCGCTATTGTTTTTCCTTCGCCACTCAATTCTTGTTGGCCTCCGATTTTCACCATTTACCTAACTAGTCAGGCCACTGAAATAGCGGAGTTCGGCACATCCCTACTGGCAAATTATGAATTCCACACATTCATAGACTTATTGCTCAACAGTCTCGTACGCCCGCTTGTTAATAGTCGACGCTGCACTCAGTTATGATCTTCACCTTTTTCCAGTGTTCATGGCTCCTTATTTCTAGTATTCTTCCCTCAGATAACAAGCCAACAGTCATCAAATATCTTGTCGGTCACGTTGTTTTCATTTTGTTCACTTTTGGTTAGGATCGGAAACACTGGCAGAGGAAACCAAAACGCTGGGTAATGCTCTGCGTGATGTACTTGCCGAGGGTGAGCGTTTGACTAGCTGTTTGAGAGAATTTCCTAAGCACAATTCGGATCCAACTTGTGCAGGCCTCTCGCCAGTTGACCGCACGGTCGGCGCAAGTGTTCTATTCCCCTCCCCAGTCGCACATTCCCTCAGAAATCGACCAACTATGGACAGCGGAAATGCGGACCCTTCACAGGATGGGACCGCGAACCTGTAAGTCTTTGGTCTTACGTTGCATGTAAATTGAACGCATATCGCTTCTCTTATCTGTTGTTAATATCGGTCTGTTACCCACCCCCTGTTCTGCTGCTCTGCTCCCATTGTGTCTCATCATTATTAGTCTAAGCTAGGATAGAAATGCGAAATTTTCTTGTTACTACGCATTTTTGTGGCCCTAATAAATTCAACCTATTATGTGATACTTTTCGACCTCTCGTTGTTGGAAATGCATATTCCCGATCAGATGACGTCATCGTTAGTGTCATATTCTACCAGGAAAATTTGCTGCTCATAGCCCGCTGTCTCATGTGATCGGTGGCCCTGTAATCGCGTCTGTATTGGTGTTTTGCCATTACCTTCTATCCTTTCCTCAATTGGTTTCGCAGCCTCCTCCCATGCACCATCGATTGCTTGTCATTCGAGGAACAGAAATATTCCCTGCGGACTCTCTTTGGCCTTATAGCATTCCATGTTGTTTGTAACAGTGTTCAATCAATAATTCAAGGAAAGCAAAAGTCGTCATTTATCTCCTTGGAAAATTTGATCGTTGCCGAAGTGGAATGCTGTGCTCCACCATCGCGTGAGTTCACGCTTGGTTTATTTTGCAGCTGAACTACCGTTCAGCTCAATCGTGTTGTGTACGCGTGTGTTCATTAACTCATGCAATTCCTGGACACCTACTTTGCAGATTTCAGGTACAGGGAGCGCACCGCATCTGAATAGCCTACGGTGCAGCTGTACTATGCAATAGATGCTCAGTATTCACTGACGTGACTCTGCGTGCGTGCCCGAACGAAGTACGATGGAGCCACACAGACACATATCGATTAGCTCTCTAATTTCTGTACTCATGATGTGTACTACCTTTGCATTCTGACGATCAAGACACTTTAGAGTTGGCTGGTTCCCGTCATTCCGATTTAAACATTATTGATCATCGCCACCGGAAGCAATGCACCATTGCTGTTTCATTGCTACACAATCGTGAGCTAAGACACGCTAAACACGAGAAGGAATGGTCGACTCCCCAGTCTCAGATTTATGCAACTTTGCACTCATTTATCCCAAAAAGGCAGTTAGCTTGTTTCGAAAACCACATGGTCGAAAACCTGCTGGCTATCTTCTGCATAAGACTAAGGCCTAGAAGTCTTCATTGTCTCACTTCATGGTTTGCCTCTATCTGTGAATGTTTCTGCTTTATCCGAACTCTGACCATTGTCCAGTTAACTGATAGTGTTCCACTCATTGTTTTACGTTGGATCCGGTTATATTAACCTAATATAAACTGCCGTAGTTTTGTCACAACCCAAAGAGGAAGTTTTCCCTTTTATGGCGTTGACAGGAGGTGTAAAAATCCTCTAATGAGTAGTGTTACATGTCGGAAGCAGGATGCCGTCATTTACTTCATGACCGCGTTACGTACCGCTCACTTACCCATCCTGTGGCCAATTCCGAGAGTAAAGTTAGAAAGTCCAAATTGATTCACTTCTCTTGCACATCACTTCATGTTTCATGGATGTGCAACTGATTGACCACATCGCATTTTCACTTCACTGGTCGCGTTGTTGGCGGATAACACATTGGAGCAGTTGGTCGGCATACATGCAGTTACTTTCACTTCTATAGCCAATCCAGTGCAGCGCCAAGAGCTCCATTTCTTGACACTACCCATCGGGCATCTGTGTGCTTCAGATACCAGTACTAGCTCGCAGCATCAGTGGTCTTCGTCATCTGCCATATATTCTATCCACCCGGTGATACTTGCCATCCTGAGATTTGCATATCTTGCATATCTTTGACTATGTAGGTACTTACATCCTTAAAAGAGGACATTGGACTCTGATGTGCTCCACACTTTTCGGTGATCTGACGATTAGAAGTACTACAGCTGCTAAGCTGCGTGGCGTGTTGGCGGAGTCCTGTGGTAGTACTCCGTATGCACATAACCACAGCGTACAATTCTTTGCGTCGGTCCATTCGGTCTGGCTCGTTCATGAACTGAATTGGACTCCAAGAACGATATCTTGTTCACGTCTTCTTTGTCTGTCTGCTACTCGGCAGTACTTGCTGCCCAATCAAAATACGTAAGATGGAATTATTTCTGATCGCTTCAACCACAAAGTAGAGGTCTTTTTCCAAGTTCGTGCTAAGTTACCGAAATGTTTTCACTACTGCTCAACCGATGGTGTATGCTTCCACGCCTCTTATTCGTGACAGCTGAATCCTACTGCGATCTCTTTTGTCTTCTCTTCTAATAATGCTCGATGTGATCGTTTACCATCGAGTCATCTCAGTGTTAAGTGCCATGTATTACTCTTTACTGCAGATTTGCTTCCCGCCGAATGCGAGCCTGTTCAAGCGTTCGCCGATCACACCATCAGCTTCTTTAATTCTCGCGATGGCCGCTCCAGACTCCGTGCACTCCTAATAGGAGTTCAGCTGAGTAAAGTGATCAAGGTATTCTCCTATCATACCGTTTTACGTGTGCTTTGTTATCATCATTCTTCCTTATGTCCGGTCGACTTTTCCATACTGCTCTTTGCGAACAACAGTGATTCGTACGAATTTTGTACCCTATTTAATCGTACTATTCCGCCATGTATCGCAACGAGACTGTACCTTAGCGTGGTGTGATGGTTTGCCTGCTCCCGTGACCCATTGAGCTACACTGGGTGACATTTTTCAAGTATCTTCATAGCTACTCATACCAGACATGTTAGGGGTCTGACCAACCCAGCATCACAGTCCAATACTCTTTCGATGTTAAGGAGTTGATGGCCGCCATCCTTTAAAGCCCAGCCGTGGGAGACAACCGCTCTACGGATTATAAACTCAAAAGTCGATTGGCGTAGAGCACTAGCACCACGCATTGTCTCTGACAGTGGGAGGACACCTTCCGGTGCTCAGTGGTTTGCTACCGCTTGCCTCAAGTCAAGCAGCCCCTGGTCAAATTGGTGCAAACCCGCCAACTCACACCTGCGGCTCGCCATGATCTAAGTTGCGTAACATAAGACGGTCGTACAACACATGTAGATTGTTCCAAATCTTTAAAGGTGGTGTGTAACAGGCCTCGAGCGGATCCCAACCGGTCTCTGCATTGGCACTCCCGAGCTGAACTTGCTTTCCACTCCCTTGTGGATCAGACTTTTGATCCAAAGGCTTCGGGTGCAGTCTCTCAAGCGAACCTCCAAATTCCCCACTTCCTTGTGAGTCAGACCGTTGAGACAAAAATTAGAGGTAGGGTACCTCGAACAACGCCCCTATCTCGGAATGGGCAGCCGGAAAATATCATCTGCCCTCTTGACCACGTCGACAATACTTCCACTTCTTCTTATTTTTCTCTCCCCTCTCAACTCACTTGTTTCCCGTCTGTTGAGCAAGTATTTGCCGCTGACCTTGCTGCTGCTGCCATCCATACATGTGGCTCTTCCATCAAGCCTAGAGTTTCACTTCACGTTGGTCCTGGTACCATCCGCACGTTGGGTCCGATCGATCAACAAGTAGCACTGACTGTCACTCTTCACTTTCTTGCTATTGATGTGTGCTGTATCCCCGGAGCACGCATACAAGATAACAGCGTTGTGACGAATGTTCGACTCTCTGTTTATGAATCTGACAACGACGAGTACGCTATTCGCGTCTCATGATACCGAGTTAATGGATCAAGGTACTTTCTGTGTAAGTATCACCCACGGCAGAGGTGCTGAAGGCTACCTACTCGACGACACCGGCGAACCTTAATCGTTCTTCTTTCTAGACCTGCGCAGCTGTATCTGCTGCATCGAGCAGGGTGGATAGTGGTTTGGATTCTACTGCTTAGGCCTTCTTGCCTCCTTATCCCCCCTCTTGCGCTTCCTCATCCTCCCTCTCCAACTTTACTTTTATCCCCCATTTTCAAGCCCCCAATTCTTGACCGTATCCCACCTTGCTTCAATAGTCGCTTGTTTTCTAGTTTCAACTCCCACACAGTCGCAGGGCATCGCTCCAATCCAGTCGACAAATGCATATTCAACCAAGCGCACAACCTCAGTTCATCCGTTTCCCACTGGAGTCCTCACGTCTCACTAAGACTGGCATGCCTCAACGTGCGCACTTTGCTAAAGATCGGCCAACAGGCAGCACTTGCCCGCACACTAGAGACCCTATCGAATGATATTTTCAGTTTATTGGAAAGGCGCCTACAAGATTCGAGTGCCGTGATTACCCTGCGATCCTCCACACGCGACATTGGCGGCACATTCTCATTGCGCCTGTCTATTGATGATGCTGTTTCAAATGCCTCTCAAACTGGCGTCGGCATTGTTTTGACTTCCCGGGCTGAAGCTGTCCTGATCGACTGGGTCGCAGTCAACAGGCGGATGTGCGCCGTTAGATTAGCTGGTTCGTTCCAAGCTATGAAGTCGCGCAGGGACAAACGGTGCCTGTTTGTCATTGCGGCCTGCAGCACTAAAAACTGCAGCACTGATTCCTTGAAGGAGGATTTCTATCAGTAACTTCACGAGCTCCTTCGTTACATAAAAAGCACGGATACTGTGGTGTTGGCTGGCGATCTAAACGTCTGAGTCGAAAAACTGTCTTCTGATGAGCTTCATCTGAGCAGCCAAAATGGTGTAGGCTCCCGTAATGATAACGGTGAGCAATTGCTACAGCTGTGTGAAGATTCTCGTCTCTTTCTCGCGTGCACTAACTTCGACATAGCACCCAAAGAAGAGTGACTTGGCGCCCACTAGCTTCACACCAGCCATGTGCGCAAATCGATCATATCGCGACCAGTTATCGCTGGAGAGGCTGTGTCCAAAACTGTCGCTCGATTTTGAGCACGAGCGTGGACTCTGACCACGCATTTATTTGCGCTGACCGGGTGTGTTTCGGCAGACGTCTGCAACGTTGATGTCAACGGATTGACACTAGCCAGCTGGCGAAGCTAGGTGTTCTGAATGTGTACCAAGTGCGCTGACATCCGGGCTGAGTAACCGCACACTGAACACAGTCGAAGATCACTGGTCGCATATTCGTCAAATGTTACTATCAGCAGACATGTCTTCCTGTGGCAAATCAAATTGCCAAACTTGACTTTGGGTATTTACAAACTCTCTGGAACCTTGGATGCTCGCCGACGTATTCCACTTGGAAGCGAATACAATGAAGCTCGCAAAAATCTCATGACAAAACTGCGTGTTATCCTGATGAAAGACCGCGAAGCCTGATGATCTCATCGTGCGTCGGAGATGGGGACAGCCGCTGCCATTGTTATTCCGTCTGATACGGGAAACAGGCAGCAGCAGACCTGGTGTAAGCGAGATCATACGCGACGAGAGTGGACAGCCGATCCACAGCCTGTCAAAACGCTTGGAGCATTGGACCGAACAATTTGTAAGGCAATTTAACTAACCTGAGTTAGCGCTTTCTTTTTCCGGCATTGAGCGCCCTTGTCCCTGCGCCGTTTCCCTGGATTCGCCCTCACGCACAGAAGTCGAACATGAGATCGGGCTGTTGAAATTACATAAGGCCGCAGGGGCAGATAAAATTCCCCCAGCCCTCTTCAAATTCAGGGGACCAGCTCTAATTAATGATTTACAAGAGTTGCTAGTGAAACGTTGGGAACAGGAGACTGTCCCGACAAACTGGAGCCGCTCCGTCACTATCACAATATTCTAGGGAGGCTCCCGTTCGGAATACGGCAATCATACAGGGAGCAGTCTGATCTCAATTGCCTCTAAAGTGCTTGCGTCTGTCATTCTCCACAGACTGACTGGCGCTCGTAAAAGCCAGATCCGGGAACAGCAAGCCGGGTTTCGTCGAGGTCGGGGATGCATCCATCGCATCTTCATCTTGCGTCAATTGTTGGAGCACCGCAATGTTTACTTGCGACCCACCGTTGTCGTGTTTCCTGACATAAAATGTGCTTTCGACTCAGTTGATCGATGTGCCATTTGGGACTATCTGTTGAGGAAATGTAAACATTATCAAACGCTGTACGTTTATACTTCGGTAAGCGTGAGGGTTTATGGCAACCTGGCGCTACCCTTCAGTATCACCATCGGTGAGAGACAAGGTTGCCCGCTGTCACCTTTACTGTTTAACTTCGCTGTTGATGAAGTCATGGAAAAGCGTTCGCTGGACACGACCTAGAAGGTGTGGAGCTACTTCCTGGTGAGCGACTTCTCGACTTGGAGTATGCGGACGATATTGCCCTAATCTGTGACAGCTCCCAAACATGCCAGTCAGCATTGGACCGATTCGCATTGGCTGTCTATTGTTTTGGGTTATGCTTTGCTCCATCGAAATGCAATGTACTTCTCCAAGATTGACAGGGACTCGCCCCTGGGCTAATGCTTTGTGGTGATCAGCTGGAAGCCGATCAGGAATTCAAGTACCTGAGCAGCTATATTAGCACTTGTGGGATCGAAGATGAGGTTACGAACCTTATAGCGTAAGCTCGAGGTGCTTTGTCAACTTCCTTCACCTGTGGCGCAGACGTAATATTATTCTCGCCTTGAACGGTAGAGTTTATAATGCGGCTGTCCGTTCAACCCTGCTGCACGATTGTGCAACCTGGCCCATCATGTGGACAGACATAAATAGGCTCGTCACATTCGCTCATCACTGCCTTCGCAGCTTAGTTCATGTCTTGTGGGAGCATCGCGTGATCATTATCATCATCATACACGTTAGCTAGAGGTGGGGAACACCTCAGCTACTGTGCTGCAATACACGGGAAAAAGGAGAAAAAAAGCAACTGGCGCAAGCCGGCTGAGCTACCGGTAGCGGATGGGCATCGTTCCGGTAAGCTACCAGCCGGCTACTGTGCATCAAAAAATTACTATGCAAAATTATATAAGGCTAACTAATGAGATCGTGATTGGAAGAGGAGGCTAGGAAAGGTGGGGTGGGGCAAAGAAACTCACAGCACGAACGCCACTGAGGTCGACTCCTAGCCATATCAAAAAGTGTGTCCAACCAAACGTGATCATTGTCTTTCGGACCCCAACCAGGGAGCCGAGACACTCCAACCGAGACCAGCTCAGAAGTGAGGGCCTTCATTCCTCTCGACCAAGTCATCGCTTGGCCACCCCTCCTCTTCTTCCATCCACACCCTCAGCGCATCATCATCATCAGTACATCAGCCATTTGAACTAATGTTGCGCTGCCATACAACCATGAGGACCTATGAAATAAAAAAATAAGAAGAGGGAGAGAAGAGGGACTTACCTGAAAAACTTAGTGCTTTAAGCAAACATTCAGGGTCAAGGCGCCTACACCTTGTGTAGACAACATACCGTCACAAACAGCTGGCTATCGTGCAATGATAAGGCGGCACCGGCGAGACAGCTTCCTTGCGGCTTTCACTGCCACGCGTCATAATCAGCCATTACCCCGCAGATAACTCAGCACCAAACATACTTTAAACAGACAATCCGATTAGGAGACGGCAGCAGACGCGCCACTGGTGTCTA